GAGAACTTCTTTTCTGCAGCACTTTCACTGCATACCAATGTTCATTTCTAGACACAATTCAAAGAGCTGACAATGATCTAGAAAGGTCCACATACTCTAGCCCAGGCTATTTGAAATATCGCATCATCTAGTGTGAGCCAACTCAGGTTTTGAGTTCTCCAGGACAATCCCTTATCCATCTCACCTTTATTTTGTCTCATGTTTGAAGGAGATGTGAGAAACAGCCTTCTCAGTGATTAGTCTTAGGACCTGAAATGCCATTGCCAAAAGAGGTTAGATTAGCTACATTTCTCTTGTCCTTCTGTTAAATAAAACATTTATATTCAAATCAGTTTTAATTGGATAGACTGCACTGCTGCTGCACTAGGTTTTACTCTACTGGGTAAATTTTACTTTTTACGGATGCATATTATATTTCATGAGCTTTTATTTCTTAAAATTTAGGGGACTGATCACCAGTAATTTTGATAAATACTACCTTGGGTTTTGTTTTGGGGGCTTTGTTTTGGTTTGTTTTTTGGTAGATGGGTTGTAAATTCACTAAATAAATATCAACTACAGAATTATATCTAGCTATTGTAGACCGATCCCAGTTGAGATGCTCTCTTTTTTCTCCCTTGTATCTACTTTCTAAATATATTTCATTGCTCACTCCTCCTCCAGCAATGAAGTCATTTCTTTAAGTTTCCCCTCGCTCTTCCCAGCATACTACAGCTCCAACAAAAATTGGAAATCACGGAATTACAGTTATCCCAGAATTAGAATTGAAAGGGACTTCTCAGCATGTAGTCCACTTCCTGCTCAGCACAGGATCTGCTAAAGCATTTCTCTCTGCAGGTTCACTGTAAGGGTGTCTGCAGCGTGGGGTTAAAAAAAAAATGCACATAAAAAACACATGGAGCTTTGATCACACTGTCTTGGCCACCATCTTGACTTTTTTTATGACAACCTGTGAACACCCCTCATTCATCCAAGGTGTTTTACACTTGGAAGGCTCTGAAGTGTGTAACAACAGCCCTGCAACTGGTATTTGGAGGCCTGCTGTCCCCAACAAAGGGGCAGATAACATCAAGACCTTTCTAGATATACCCTCCATGAATTTACACAATTGCTTTTTAAAGCCACCCAGGTTAGTGGTCATGACTACTTCTTATGGTAGTTAAGTGGTCATGACTAAGCTGCTTCCAATGTAGCATGGCTGGCTGGGGATTTCTGGGAGTTGAACCACACATCTTAAAGTTGACAAGGATGGAGAAGCACTGTTCTGTAGTAAAGACAGATGCAAGGAATTCATTCAGTTTCCCTGCAATCTCCATATCCCTCCATATCCTTTTCACTCTCTGTGTTATCCAATGAACCAACTGCTTCCCTGGCTGGTTTTCTGCTTTGAATATATTTAAATTATTTTTTATTGTTTCCCTTTGTGTGTTTGTGTGCACATGTGTTTTGCCATACACTCCTCAAATTCCATAAAAGCACTTTATCTGTTTTATATCAGACTTCATGCTTCTATCTCATTAAGGCAGGTCTTCCTTTTTCCGAAAGAAGAATTCTTCATTTTTTACAGTTTCAGAAAGCCACACTAGCACCTTTCTGTATTTGGTGGAAGCTTCCTCACATTGTGGGATATAGTCTAGTTGAACCTCAATTCTTATGGTTTGGAGTTTTACATAACCTTTAGGCACCAGGAAGAGATTTGGCTCTTTTGACTTTTGACTTGTTCAGGTGGGTTGGTTTTTTTTTTAATATCAGGCACCTCATTTTTGGACATTATTCCTTGTCTAGTGAAATATGATTGTGTTGGACCTTGCCAGCAGTCTCCTATTTGCATGGATGCTAAGTGTGACGGCCTTATGATTATTGTGCCCTATTCATTCTAGAAAAGTTACATTTCACACCAGATCAAAACCACTTAGAATTATATCTAAGACTGCTTCCCTCCTATTCAGGTCTAAGGCACAATTGTATCTAGACATTTGTTGGGACTTGGGCATGATGCATCAGTCTATGTGAGGGTAATTAAAGTCCCCATTATTACAAGAACTTCTTCTTGGTATGCCTTCATGATTTCTTTCAACATCTCAAAATGGTCCTCTTGATAATTATTTTGATTAATTCTCAGCTATTGCCATAGGAATGATTTTCTACTAAATACTGTTGCATGTTAGCTGCCAGAAATAGTCATCTGTTAAATACTAAACCGTCTAAGGAATCAACTGGTTTTTATGGATTGTTGTGAACTGCCAAGAGTCATCATATGAGATAGGCGACCATATAAGTTCTGTAAATAAACAAATAAACTGTGCAGTTTTATGCATTGGGGTAAGTAAACTGGGAGTACACCAGACTGAAATCCATGGGGCTTACTTACACCTAAATTATTTTAGGAGTGGGATGAAGTTCCAATTTTGCTTTTGAAAATTTAAAAGTCATTTTTGGCTGAAAATAGGATCCCAGAGTAATAGGTCAACATATTGCCATAGAAACAGGATTCTTGTATCAAAAACCAGAAGAGTAACACTAAGACTCAGATAGATTTGGTGAAGACAACTGATGATGAACAGTTGATCTCCTGTGCCTTGTAGAGTGGAAAGATGAAAATGTGTGTGTGTGTGTGTTTATGCATGTGATGACAGAAATAGGAAACAAATGATTCATATACATAGTTCTCCCTGCTTCCTTGCCATCTCAAAATTCAGAACCTGCATGTCTTCTCTTATGATGAGCTGTGTATACTTCCAGTGTAGAAACTGATTATGCATCTCATTAAACATGATGTTCTACAAGTTCTGCTTCAAATATTTACAAAAAGATACAGAAAAACAGAAGGTGTTTCTTGATTTTACCATATCTTATGTCCAAGTTAGCCTGAGAAGCTATAACCTCAACAGTCAGTGCTAGAATGGCTTGACTCTTGAACGAAATACTGTATGCAGACTCCTAGGCCCAGAAAGACTTTTTCTTTCTTATTAGAAAAATGTTGAGACCTTTCTCTGTACTGTGGCTTTCAATGGATGTCAAAGGCTTTAGAAGAAAGAGAAATAACTTCAGAAACATAGTATTTAATGCCGTTACCCATTTCTCTTCACAGAATTCCTGAGAATCTATCACAGTTTTCTGAAGGGGCCATGGAACGTAGATGGGAAAATAGTAAGATGCATGATTATCCAGATAAATAAGTACAATTATGCAGGTTTTACAAGATAAGGAACTTGTAACCAAATGTTACAGACTGAATTACTTGTCTTAAGGATGAGGGCTGCCTAGTATTCCTTTTTCAAGGACTCTCCATATAAGCAGAAAATTCAGATTTAGACAATTTGATCGGTGAATGATTTATATGAAGTCCTTTACTGTACATTGTTAAGTTTTCATTTATGGCTGTGAAAACATATTGCATGAAAACTTGCTCTTACATTTCATAAAAATTGAAGGTTTTTTTTAATAGGTCAGTCATCTGTCATCAGGGTTTCAGTGTTGCCTCCTGCTACATTTGATGTTAAATTATATTTTAAATGGGTGCTTAGCAATGCCACTTCCATTTCGAAGGAAAAGCATTCAGATTGGAGGAAAGAAGGGAAATCACACACACTAGCAATATTTCCTCCTTCTTCCTTAAGCCAAGCTGAAAAGGAACAGGACCAAGAGGCTCCCCTCAACCAGAAGGCCCCTGGATCTCCCTCAGGAAGATCTCCCTCCCCATACTCAGAAGAGAAGGCAGCAACTGCTCCGAACTTCTTTTCCTTTTTTTAGGCATTCAGGGCACTTTGGTGGGGTAGATTCAGCTTGTAGTAACTCCTCAAGGGAGAGTATAAGCCATCCTGGGCCTTCTTGGATAATTGGGCAAGGTGAATTGGTCTGTAGTCCTGCCCACATGTGGTAGGCTTGTTCACGGAAGGAGCCATGGCCTCCTCCTCTCATTTGCTCACCTGGATTTTTCCACCGCAAAGCGGAGCACTGAGAATTCTCCCATCGCTTTCTCTTGCTTGTCCCTGCCTTAAAGCTCAGAGGAAGTGCCACCATGGGGCAAAGGCTGTTGAAGGCACCATCATCCCCTCTTCTCTCTGGCATAGTCTCCTTCTGCTGCCTTTGTCCAGAAATGGAACCAGGTCTCAGAGCTGTGCTGATGCTATGTTTTGAGTAGCACAGATAGCAACGCATAGGCTCTCCTGCAAGAAAACTTCTGCTATGTCAATCTCTTTTACCTGTTGCTGAATCCTACATTTAGCATCCCTCAAGAGCAAAGAGCATCGCCTCCTGAAATCAGCCCCCAGCTTGGTGAGCCTTTTGCACTGACCTTCTGCAACTCTCAGCCCATCTACCACCTGGACAGCTTGGCTTCTCAGTGAAAAAGCTGGCTCCTTCTTAAATTCAATCTTGACCGAATAAGAGGGCCAGAGAAAGGGATATTAAATAAATGAAGTTGCTTTTTTGTTTGCTCCCAGGTTTAAATAGCCTTTGCATTTATGGGGAAAGCTGGAAACCCTAAGAGATTAAAAGAACATACAGGATTGTCCCACATAACTATAACCGCAAGGATATCATTTGTGGAAAGAAATTAGGCACGGATTATTTCCTGTAACTCTCCAACTATTATTAAATTTCCCCATAGCCATATCTGTAACAGGCATGGAAATAAAGCTCCTTAGAATGTAATAGAAACAACATTTGTCTCCCATCCCCTTACTAATGGGCAAAGCATGACATTTCCCCCTTTCTTTTTTATAAAAATAAATAAATAAAGCTTACGTTTAGATTATTTATTGATTTTACTTATAATGGATCTGGTCATTTTGCCTGTGTTTATTCTTTAACTATTTTGTTCACAATCCACAGGTCTCTGTGATTGGCTGTTGGACCAGCATATTTTGCACAATGATGTAATATTTGATAAACAGCTAAATGAACAAGGGTGTCTGCAGGGGGAGGTAAAAAAAGGCAAAATGGTAGCCATAACCACACCATCAAAGCCTTGCCCCCTTTTCCGGGTACATTGCATGTTTTTGTCCTGCTTTTTAGAGCACAATCCTGACAAACTATTCAGAAGCTAAATGTGATCCTTGGCCGCCCAAAAGTTATGCAACTGTGAAATAGATAATGCACCAGGGGAGAATCATAGTTTGTTGGTCAAAAGTCCAGAAAATATTAATAAAAGAGTTCATCTGAAAAAGTCACAGAAGGAGCACACTGCTTTTATACATATACTAAGTTGATCAGGTTTGTCCTGCTGGTTATTTAAGTTCAAGGGACCCAGTCTGTTTTCAGGTCTAAAGGCTTATGGATGTGGGGAACATTAAAAATTAACACTTAATAAATCAATCATCAAAACACATGCAAGTTAACTATTGCTTTTCTTCCCCTTCCTCCTATATGTGATCCATTTTTCCCACAATAGTTGGTGAGAGGACAGGGTGGATAAAAAGGACCAGGAAAAAAAAAAAGATCAGAAGGTAAAAAGAAAAAGGATGGAAGAAAAGAAAAAGAAACTTTAAACCTGCATGAAAGAAGCAGCTCACCAGTTTGACTTCCACATTTAAAATACTAAGGGTTTTTTTTTTTTTAAGTTAAAAAGGTTTTAAAAGGTCATTATGCATTTAGCAGCCAAAGAGCAGTATGAATTTCTAAGCAGCAACATCTGGAGGATCAAAAGGAATCATACTTCAATCAACATGAAAATATCTGCTCATTACACACAATCATATTTAGTTATTAATAGATCCTGGCTAGACCCTGACATTTCACACATTTCATCATATGATGCACCCAGGACACTTCTGGCATTTAGTTTATCATTTCCATCAGTGTCACGGAAATAGTGACCAATCTGACCTCCAAAACCCTCCGACTGTCACTCATCGTAAGTGAATTTATCAACACACAGAGAATGGGAATACACAGGAGAGTTTTAACTGTTTGCATACAAAATAATTTCATTCTTCATGCTTCAAAAAGAGGGGGAAGCAGCGCCCGCACTTTCGCATAATAAGTAAGAAGGGCCAGCAGACAATTAGATAGGTGGAAATAGTATGCAAAATGATTGGAATTCAAATTCGTTGGGCAAATGTAACTGGAGCTGGCTTAAGTAATCAGTTGAAACGGGTTGATTTTCCTCCATCGTTAGAGGTTAATACAGAAGCTCTCCAATTTATAATGGAAGCCGCCTTATTTCAACCGCAAATTAGCACAGACCTCATTAATATTTTCATTCTATGACATCCCTTCTGATGGACTTAGATGCATAGGCTGGAAAATATTAAAATTAATTGGACTGTTTTATTTATGGGGAAAAAAATAATACAGGGCTTGGCAACAGTACTTCTGGGGGACAAATTGCACTGACCCCAATACAGTATCTAAGACATTCTGGAATGGCGTGGAATTTTCTTTCTGTGATGTCACAATGGCTTGCTACACTGGAATATTCCCTGGCTGTGGGGTTAAATCACTGCAGTTAAAGGAACAGCAAGGACAAATACCCTTTTTTCCCCCTGCAGCACCAATCAAAATAGGGGGGAAAAAGGTGTAAGATATCTTTGGCCCCAAAGACTATTTTGTTTATAACGATAATTATTTAGTCAACTGAGTCTCAATTTTAGTTTTGCTAATTAGATCGAGCACTACCTTCTTCGTCACTTACTGCATCCTCTGATGGTTGCAAAAAGGAAGGCTCTTACTATTTTGATTGTTTTGCATGCTATCTTCTAAGAAGTCTTCGGCTCCATATTCAAGGGACTTGATTATATTTTGTTAACAGCAGCAATCTAAACCTTCTGCCATGTTTCACTTTGGAAATCATCCTGATCGCTGAACAGCGACCCTCTCAGAAATAAATAGATAAATAAATAAACTGTTTCAAGGGGATTATCCAGAAATAAGCATGTATACTGTAATTCTCATTTATTAAATTGAATTTAAAATACCGTTTACGAAAAGGCTTAAAAAGCAGGTGTATGCCTTTGTGTGGTTTGGTGTGCTTTGAATCTGAACATTCTGTCATACGTTGAATGATAAAAGCAAGAAATTGGGGGTCACTTGCGAGTTATATTTGGGTAGATTTGACTTCACTACAACTGGTACTTTCCACGGTCAACGTTTTAGCTTGCCATATTTGTTTGAAGCAGTAAAATCTCTTTCTGGCTTCTTCTTTATTCTAAACATGTATGTGCCATTACTTTAGATCCTTTTGTGTCCGTCTCATTCATAATGTCTGCGAGCAGTGGTTAGATTTAATTTTTCCAGGGAGGCCTTTCCTCTAATGTTCAAAACAGCTCCCACGCGTGTTAAATGCTGATCCATCTATGTTCAGAGAAAAAAGAATTTACGCTTAATTTCTTGCCTCTCATGCAGAGGCTTTTTCTGTTATTGCTATCAAAGGGGGCTGACTGATGTGCCAATGCTCCAGTTTGTGAGAACAGCCATTTGGGGGTGGGGAAGGTGTGAAGCTTGGAGTCTTTTATATGATCATGAGATCCTGAGCAAAACAGCCAAGGAGAACAAAAAAATTAGGAAAAGGTTCTATTCCCTGTTATCACCTACAGGGTCAAAGAAGTCAAGATGGCAGCTGTGATGGTGCAATTGAAGGTCTGTCTGATTTTTACAGGCAATGTACATGAAACACATGTCTTCGATCATACTGTTGTGGCCACCATCTTGACTTATTTGACCACAGCCTGGAAATACCTCTGATCATGTAATACTACTGCAAAGCAGAAGTAAACGATAAAGATAATCTGTGTAACAATAGTAGTCAAGGACAGTTTTAGAATATTTTCCAACATGCCCTTTGACAATAATGTTGCTTAATTATTATATTTCTTAATCCTGGGTTTAACCTTCTGTTTCATTCAGGTCTGTTTCAAAGGGGCCACTTTTGTTATTTGAAAGAGTATTAGAGTTGACTGAAGTATGGAATATTTTTAATAAATTTACTATAATTGAATGCCCAAACAGAAATAACTCAATCTGAGAAAAACAAAGCACAATGCAATTATTTGGGCAAGCATAAAAGTTGCTGAATATAATTTTGGGTCTTCTCCTGGGACCATAAATTAGTAGAAGTGGTAGCTAAGAGCCATCTCAAAGAAGGAAAGGGATTGAATTAGTGCACTGGTTAATGGGGAGAGCCTGGCTTAAGTTCACTCTCAGACACGGGTGAGAGTGAACCGAGTGAAGTCAATCCAGCCATTTTAAGACGGGTCAACCCACAGTCAATCACAGCCACTTTAAGATGGGTGGACTTCAACTCCCAGAATTCCCCAGCCAGCTTTAAGTCCACCCATCTTAAAGTGGCTGAGGTTGAGAAACACTGTTGTAGGGGGAAACGGGAGGAAGGAATGCAGTGCACAGCATCTCAAACAGCTGGATAAAAGGGGGGATATAAATCTAAGAAATAAATAAACAAAACCTTAAGATTTCTGGAACCCTCCCCAGCAAATGCTTGATTAATTCCACCAAGTGGTTGAATAGGGGGCGAGAAGGAGGCCATTAATGAAATTCTCAAGCCCCTCTCAGACTCTGCCAGCAGAGTCCCAAACCATTCCTAAACCCTGTAACCTTCTCAACATACTAGTCCAAGGATAGACCCCTTTTGTCTGCCTCCAGGCAATGCCCTTCTCAGTCCTCCTAAATATTAACGCTCCATGGTCCTTCGGGAGAAAGAACAATAGTATAACAACAACAACAGTAACAGCTATTGTTGTTTTATTATTATTAAATAGAGGGTTTTTGTTGTTCAACAGTTGTGCTCTGCTGTTTCGTCAAGGACTGATTGAAGACTCAGCCATACAACCAATAGCAAGGGATTCTGGCAGCTGTAGTTCAGCACTATCTGGAAAACCATTGGCCCACCACCTAAGCTTTAGATCAGTGTTTCTCAATCTCCGCAACTTTAAGATGTATAGACTTCAACTCCAAGAATTCCCCAGCCAGTAGTTGGCTGGGGAATTCTGGGAGTTGAAGTCTATACATTTTAAAGTTGCGGAGATTGAGAAACATTGCTTTAGAGACTCTGGCACAAGCCAATCAAGGTTTTAAAAGTCACCACCCACCCTTTGAATTGATCCCAGAAACAGACTGGAAGTTATTCTATCTGGAGAGAGACTCAGAAGTTCTGCCTTTGTAGGTGCAATCCTGTTGGGAAAGGGGCCCTTCAGATTTAAAAGTGAATTGGATAAATTTATGGAGGAGATGAATCCATGGCCACACGCAGCTTGGGTCTTTGGCTCTACCAGCGCTGAAGGCAAGCGTTGATTCCATCGCCTTACAGAGAAGGTCCCTTTGTTTTGGCCCTGCGGGTTGCAAAATGCTTGATCAGATGAATCTGTGTATGTCTCCAGGTCCCTACTTACGTTCTCACAACATTGCTAACTTGTTAACCAGTTAGCAAAATAGAAACACGCACAATCCCTGTCCCCCCCCCCCCCCCCCCCC